GACTTGACCTCCTGAGGACCCTTCCAGCCCCTGTGATTCTGTGATCTGTGGAGCACAATTGTGTGACTTAGGTCATCAGTAAGTGATCAGGCACCCAGTATTCCTGAAGTAACTGCTTCACTACTTAAAGCTGGCTGAACGCAGCTATGTGTTCAGAAGCTGCAGTGACAATGTGAGGAACTAAGGCCCTGTGCTCCAGAAACACTTGAAGCTGTGCTCATTCAAGATTAATAAGCAAAGCTGCGCTAGACAAGATTTTCTGGAAGAAGAAAAAGCACAACTTAAGTATGCTGCATCTCTCGGTTAATGCACGACATTAGCAATGCCCCACTTCCCTTAATTTTACATGGAATGGATGTTTTGCATGCGAACATACAGACTTTCAGCAGTACTTCATAGTGACAATTAAAGAAACTGTATCATCCATTAGCAGAGAACTAAAGTCACTGAGTACTCTGCACCTTTCACCTTCACAGTGACAATGCTGGGACAATAATTATATGCACAGTTCTAAGTAACCTTAAAAACACACAAACCAAAAAATCCAAACCAACCTACCAGAAAAGAACAGAAGAGCAGACAACCTTCATGTGCTCAGGGTTGCCCAAACACTTGCTTGTTCCATCTGGCAAAACTTCATTAACTAGAACAAAGCTGAAACTGTGTACCCGACCTTGTAAGATCTGAACCACAACCGAGATAAAAAGCACAGATAGCACCATAGAAATCTGACACATAGAAAAAGAAAGCAAATCTAAAATAAACCAAGTTTCCACTGCAAGTCAAATTATAGTTTCTTACCCCAAAGTTGTTTTAAAACACTTACTGCCTCCAATCAAAAAGATCTTAGCTAATTTGATTTTTCTCCTTATCTGTTGTGTTTGAATGGATAAGTACCACGATTCAACCTCTATTCTGATGAGAAAGTATCAAAGATGCCATAAAGAGCTACTGATTAACTACTCCTTTACCACTCATGTTTTCCGTGGCTTCTTCTCAGCGATTCACGTAGGTACATGGAAGAAAAGCTCAAAACTCTAACATGTTTCATTCCTTTTTTTTTTTTTTTTTTTTTGCATTTCATGAGTCAAGATCAGAAAACAATACACAGCACATGCTATAAAAGATAGCAATTTAAAAAAGAAAGAAGACACAATGCATTTATCAATTACAAACTGAAAGCAATATTTGACCCATCTGAAGAGCATGGAAACTCCAAACCTGAGTTTTGAAGAGCTGTTCTTGATACTCTAGTTTTAAAAGTGACCTGAAACGTGCTCTTCTTCACATATTTTGATTTTTAATTAATCTGCAGGGAAGCCACTCAGCCGCCAGTGAAAGACTTTGAAGTCTCACTTGCGAACGCAACTGGTCGGAGGTTGAGAGACGGATCCACCACTGAACAGTAAGTGCACCCAGAGCAGGAAGAGATCATGTCTGAAAACACAACCCAGGAAGCAAGGCTGGGCAGGTGTTCAAGCACTTCTCGTCCTCTTGAGCCACACCTACAAGGACAACATCTTCAGTTTCTTAACGGTCAAAGAGCCAACCCAGCAAAGCCTGCAAGCATACAGATGGCTGAGCCAGCCCAACTGGCAGCAGTTCCTCAAATCCAGCTCTGCTTCAAAATTCAGTTTGCCCTGAAATGATGAACAGATAAATTCTACGATTCCCCAAGTCGCAGTAATACCTGAACTGTACTCAGGACCTGGGCGGTCGGTCAGAACGCTAATCCAAAGCCCTTGTGACAGATGACATTACCTCAGCTCGTACCTGATTTGAGGAAACAGTAATTCTAGAAATGGTGCTTCCCACAATCTTTGCTCTTCCCTCTGCCCCCACAACTGTAACCACTAACTGCACTGAGACTGCTGGGCCGACAAGACTGCAGTAAACAACATCCTCTGACTGATGCAAACATTGCTTTCTTTCCTCAATCTGACCAAAGGTTACCAGGATGAATTCCAATAAAAAGCAGAAATTTATTGAGATGATAATGGATGTCGTCAAAGTCACGTTGAACATTCCATTCCATTACCTCTCCCAATAAAAGGGTAATTTTAAGGCCAAAATTATCATAAATGGAAATATCTGTACAATTTACACTTTTTAAGCATCGCCATCCCTAATGAACAGAAGCTTTCCTCAACAAATGCACTGCCATACGTGATTCACACTCCCAAACTTCCTTAAGCAACAGGTTTGTTCAGCTGCTATTCTCAACCCTATCGCAAAAAGAGCGCTCTTGCAGAGAAACGTTACATAAAAGGCAAGATTAGGCATAGATGAAATGTGTGAAAACTCCAAAACTCATGTAATTGAAGGACAGCTATTTAAAAGAAGTTAGAAGTTAGTGCTCTCGAATCTGTTAACACAGTTCTATGAGGTAATGGAAGACTTTCAGCCAGGTTCAGCAGATGTCAAATACCCTGCTCAGCAGAACCAGCAGCTTGTCTCCTCAAACGACTTTAAAATATGAAGCACCAATAACTCTAAGTGTCTAAAAGGCATTAACATCAGAAATTTAGCATTATTTTTAGTTTGCCACGCAGTGAGGACATGAAACACGAGAACACCAAGGCGACACTTGTTTGATACGCTTCCTCATAAAGGCATAGATAAATTTTCTTTTTATTTTTTCCCTTTAAGCAGGAGTCAGTCACTGGACAGACAGTAGGATTTACAAATGTCTCAATCTTCACCACTGTTAGTTCTTAAATAATTACAAAAACTACAACTCCAGAAAGTAGGAGATACATGGCTTACTGCCTAACCTCTCCAGATACAGAAGGTACTTGTTACACAGAAGTTGGATGCTTACTAGCAACCAACATGTTGAATGTGGTTCTCCTCATTTGAAGCCTCCCATTATAATATTTTACTTTATTTCTTTACAGAATTAGCCAATTGGAAATCCAGCTTTTTTCTTCCATGGTATTTCACAGAATGCTGGTAAAGGAGATTTGTTAAAAGCACTCCATGCTGGGAAGCCAGCCTTCAAAACCAGACTCAAATGGGGCAGAAGCAGCTTCATGCCATGTAAGCCTCTCAGTACTCCAATGGGTTTGGCCACATATTCTCACCAAATGACTTGATTCTGTACCTACAAAACATCATTCAACACCAGTGGTGAACCTCAAAGAATGAGAACAGAGATGAGTCATTTTCTGCTGGAGACACTGAAGAAACTGTCACAGAAAAATACGGATTCACTAAATGACCTTCTTCACTACTGCATTAGCAAACCATACCCTAATGAACTCACTGGCAAACATGCTGGCGAAAGTGCTTCTTTCAGATGAAGCATGATGTTCAGATTTCCCACGTCACTTTTTATTCACCAACATTAAGTAGAAAACGCTCAGGCAGCACTACTGTTTTTGGCAAAAGAAGTATATTCCACATGGAGCCTCATATAGAAGACAGGAAGCCAACAAAATTACAGAATACCTAAACATGCAAGCATTCTGATGCACAGATGTAAAAGCTTTCAGTTCCTGCAAACTCTGAGCAAACCACCAGATTTAAATTCTGAAGCAAACTCCATAAGACATTATGTTCACTTAAGCCTATTTTTATATGATCACATCAAATTGGCTTGCTGAATATAAAGCCACCTGCTGCAGAATGAGGAGCCAGTCCGTTGTTGTATAATAACAAATGGGGACAGAATACAACTCTAAAATTGAGAAACACAGCTCTTACATCAATCAATTTGACAAAAGAAATAGAAGCCTAAGTTTATATTTCTTTATTTTTAAAATTAAATCTTTATTCTATCAGTAAGAATAATACTTGGGACAGCTAAGAACTACTGATTTCCATCAGCACGCTTGGTCATGTTACAAAACAGTCTGTAAACAGTCTGTAAGCTCAAAAAGGGGAGATTTAGGTTGGATGAAAGGAAAAAGTCTTTTACATGAGGGCGCTGAGGCAGAGGCACAGGTTTCCTAGTGATGTGGTTGATGCCTCATCGCTGGAGACTTTGAAGGCCAGGCTGGACCAGGCCCTGGGGAACCCGATCTAGCTGCGGTGTCCCTGTTCACTGCAGGGCAGTTGGACGAAATGGCCCTCAGAGGTCCCTTCCAGCTCTAAGGAGTCTCTGATCCATGCTCAGAGATACCTGTAGCTTTCTGCAAGGCATACAGAAATATCTGGCAGTTGTTGCAGCATGAGGATTCGAGAACCCACCAGCAGAAGGTAGGAGTGTTCCACAGAGCTCCATATAGGTATGTGTCACCATAGAAAAACGGTCCCCTAAAACGCTTTTGGTACATAACACTCATGATCAGCAGCAACTTTCCAGAGAGCAGAAAGAAAAACAATATTGGCAGCACCTCGTGAAGATACCACCCAGTGCTCGTCTCAACACAACCGTGGGGATTTTTCCAGCCTGACCGGATCTCTCCCCCTTCCCTAATGGCTGGTTTCACCTAAAGACAACGCAGATTAACAACCAACCCTTAGAACGCCCCAAAGACTGCAGAGTATTTACGTGCGGAAAGACGTGCGACATCAAAAAGCAGACACACGGACAGGCACCGTTTTCCATCAGAGTAAACAAAACAAGCGCCCGCCGCAGAACGGCCAGGTGAGGCAGAAGGACGGCGGGGGCGGCGCTGAGGGCATCGGAGCTGGAAGCAGCAGCAGCAGCAGCAGCAGCAACTCAGAGCTGCCCGCAGCCGCCGCATCCTGCCCGGATCGCACCTCCCGCCGCCGCCCCGCAGCGGGCTGCAGCAGCCGCGTTCCCGCCCCCCCGCTCCGGCCGTCTGTTTTCGAGGCATCTCCACAACCCCCTCCCCTCCTCCTGAGGCCACGCGAGCCGCTACCGACGCAGCCCGCTTTTCCTTCTCCTGCCCCTCGCGCCTCCACCGCCGCCGCTGCGGCCGGCCGCGCCCCCGCCCGCCGCGGACCGTTAACGGCTGCGCCCCTCCGCAGCGCGCGCACGCCCCTCGCCTTCCTCCTCGTCGCCCCCTCCGGCCCGCCCCAGCAGCGCTCACCCGAGGGCGGATGAGAAAAAACGGCGGGCACCGGCGCGACGAAAGGAGAAAGACGGGGCCGCAACGGGCAACCTCTCCACCGAGCCCGTCGCCTCCGCCGCTGGCCCCAGCGCCGAGCTCCGCCCCCCCCCCTTGGCCCCCGCCCGACAGGGTGCGGCTTCCCCGGGCCGCAGGCCAACAATCGCGCCGCCCATTGGAGGGCGCGAGCGCGGCGAGCAAGCGGCTCCGCCATTGGCTGGAGGCGGCCGCGGGGCGGGAGGCGCGTGAGGGGAGGCAGCGGCGGAGACCTGAGTCCGCGGGCTTTCTGTGGGGCGAGCGCGGCTGTGCACGCCTCGCGGGGGTGCGGGTGGAGTTCGTGTGGAGATGGCTCGCTGTGGAACGGAGCAGCGCACGGCGAGAGAGAAAGGCAGCAATCGAGTAACTGCCGAGGAGCGGTGCGATAGAAAGATGCTCCCAGACTTGCTATGATCTTTCTGGCGATTAATCTTCGCTACTTAGAATTGAAACGCAGGCTCTAGAGACACACGAGAACTTGAATTTGGTCTCAACCGCTGGAAACTGATTTGGTTGCAAAGTGGACGGGATAACTGTTGCAAATCCGATAGCAAGACAGTGCTGGCTGTAGGCATGCCTAATCACATTTGCTGTTGTAATCACTAACAATTAGCAAACAGTATCTGCATTTTGAATGTTTGTTTTTGGGCAGAACTGTTGCTGTAAACCCCACACATTAAATAAAGTCACTTCTATCTGGTACTAAACCCCGTTAGACCCAGCGGTGTGTTTACACGCGAGATCGCCCTCTCCATCTGGTTCAGTCTAACGAAGAAGGCTGCAGGTGCTCCGCCAGGTTCAGCGCCTCTGCATCGCCTGCCCCGCGGCACGTGGGTGACGACGGCAGAATTCCCCTTCAGCTTGGCACCTGCTTCACCTCTTTAACACATAAAGCTCTTTTTCTTGTCTAGTGAAGTACATGGGATAACTCATCCATACAAACACATATTTGGTAAAAAAAAAATACTGTTTTCACTTAAAATAATGTTGTTGTTTTTTTTTCTATCCCTGGCTATGAGAACATTAGAGCCAACAGGAAAGGTGATGCTAAGGTCAGAAGTGGTGACCAGGGAAGGACAACATAATTTGTTTTGCTAGCAGTGCTGACTTAATGTGTTTGTAACTACAGGGAGCTGTGCCAGGAGAAGTTTGGGCTGATCAGATGCTGAGTTTTATCAATTGCCACTGTTCAACCTGATGATGAAACATTTGAAAACATTAAAAAGCTGCAGGAGGTGCAGTTCTTCAGCCCTGTCTTTTTCTCCCATGACCTGCCCAAGGTCACCATTCCTGCTCTCCCCTTCCATCCTCCTTGCACAGTACTGAGGCCAAAGAATATATCGTTTCACTGAACTATTCTGATGGAATAATTGGGGCATGAGGGGGCAAGATCAGCTTTCTGCTGAATCAGCAGGCTCAAACAGCTCATTCTGTAGCCAGAGGCTGCTGAAGATGATGTATGACACTATTAATCGTGCCAATTCAGTTTTTAGCCTGAGCAGGTTCTTGAGCTGCATGAAAGTCAGCAGTGGCACAGAAGCAAAGGTGGGATCGTGTGGGTAAAAGTGTAACAGAGGGCACGCACATGCTCAGCATACTAAAGCAGTATACAGTACTATTCAACTGTGGCACTGAGAATCTGAAAAAGCACTGCTATGATATTTTAGGCTTGTCTGTCTTCAATAGCTCTTACCAGTTCATTTTACAGGATTACAGCTACAACCAAAGGTGCAATAATATGAACCATACAGTGTTTATCTAGCCAAGGTATCTGACCCCTTCATGGTCTTTGCCCTACCTATGAGAGATAGGACAGAATGACCAAGACAAGTTTGCTACCTGTAGTTTTGTTTGCTATATACACATCTGCACATATACTGGATAATGCTCACTGGTCCATAAAAAAAAAAACAAAAAAAAAAAAAAAAAACCAAAAAAAAATTACCAGATATTTTCAGGTAGTACAGTGTTCAGACGAAGCATCAGAATTTGGCACTGCTCAGTTGGTATAGATGTACCAGCTGCTGATTCTTCTGCAGTAAGTTTGTCCAGACTCAGTCATCAGCAGTACTACACTACAGAATGTCAAGGCATCTAAATTAAAAAAATCTATCTGAATATGCTCATTTACACTAGTTGCTTTAGTTTAACATTACCAGGCCTCAGGAAATACTGCACAATTATTTTTACACAAGTCTTTACCTTGGCATTAGCAGTCCTGAACGCTCAAACCACTCGGCTACCTGTAAGAAGCATGATACGTGGTTGATGTCACAAATCTGGATTAAAACATGTATCTTCTCCTTTATACAGGGTGTGCCCCTTCCATGTATGCAGTTTTAGGATGCTTTTCTTACCCATAAAGTATCAGTGACAGTATCAAAATATCTCTCTCCCTCTTGGTTTGCCTGAGCTTCTCTTTTCTGACAGTCTGTGTACTGGGCATTTCTGGGCAGGACTTGCTTCTCTAGGTGGCAAACACCAATTGTCTTTGAGAAATACCCAAGGGCCTCCAAATCTTGCTGATGAATGGGATGCTTCTGGTACAAGTGAGCTTGTGCCCATCTAGCACTACCACTGAAAAGCTTGTGAGGAATGTTTCTTTGAAATTATTATACTTAAATGCCTTTTTAAAAAGCGATGTAATGGACTGTCTTAAATTCATCTGTGTGGACAGTATTAATAAAATATCATGACTTAAGTGCAGGATTATAAAAGTTGGTCACTGTTGGTAAGTTTATCTCAAAAGTACCATTGGAAAGTTTATTTTTGTCCTGGCAGTCATATTCTTCACAGAAGGGAGGCCTGTTTTTTTTAACTTCTCTAATTTCACTTGTTTATGTAAGGAAGGAGAAGTTTCCTGTTCTTTAAGGCATATATAGATGAGAAGATCTGACAGAACAAGCACCTGGAAAAGCACATTCTGGTCTGCTGTGATCTCCCTCCATAACCAAAATCACATCTGAAAAAAAGAGAACTGAAGCTACAGGTGGGGAAAGGGCAGAACAGTGAGATTTTACGTACGCTGAGAATAATAAACTGAGAGGCTAATTTTGGCTTTAAGTTTGAAAAATATTGACTTTATGCTTAGGATGGAATCACAAAAATGTACACTGTTCAGATTAAATATCAACCTAGCTTCATGGTTCAAGTCAGTTAATAAGAGTTTTGCTTATGTTATTGCATCAGCTTCTTGATACAACTCATGTAATAGCAAAAGAATAGGTGGAAGATACAGTGATAGCTTTAGCCAAAAAGAAAGCAAGAAACCAGCTTTCTCTTCGTAATGTTACAACACTGCTTGTGGAGGTCTGGATTTGTTTTGCCAAAAACCTTCTCCAAGTAAAGCAGATTCTTTTAACTGCAACATTTATGACTTCATAAGTCTAGAAGGCACACGATGTTCATGTTCAATACAAGTTGCTTCTGTGCTAGTTCCAAAGTTACTAAAGCTGCTGAAAGTTATAGCAAACTATAGAAAGTTATCCTTTAGTAATAGGAGAAAAACTGCCACTGCCAGAAGTTTTACCTTTTGAAGAGCTGGGACTTCAAAAACAGACCACAGTGAATAAAACAAAGAAAGAAAGAAAAAGAAGATATTAGGGCAAGTTCAAAGCAATGAAGAGGGCTAAAACATGGAAAAAAAATTATTTTGTTTAAAGCTTTGCATTTATTATTACTACATGCGGGAGAAAATTAAATTATCTTGGGAGAAGCTTTCTAACGTTAGAACAACAAATTTTGAAGTCTTTTAAATCATATTTTTAAAAAGGCAAATTTTCAGCAGCGCCCCAGGTTAAGGTGTAGCTGCCATTTACTTGGAAAAATAAGTAGGTATGAATGGCACAGCATAAATCAAAGCACAGTGTAATCACTGAATCCCTAACAGACAGCCTGCGAGGCTACACCTGGAACATCTTTCTCCTTAGCTGTCCTGTAAGAAAACCCTGATGGCACACAGAATAGACTCTCTTTATTTCTGTGATGTACTTCTCACATCAGTAGCTTTCAATACAACTGCAAGACTCCAGCCGTGCAAAAAAAGTCATTACTGAAGTGCATGTCTGCTTCCCGGTACACAAACCGGATGGATCAAGGTTAGGCCCAAAAGAAACGAATATGATACTGTTAAAAAGCAAAGCACTGACCCAAAGAAGGGTCAGATGGGTCTGCATTTATTTTCCCCATCTATTTTCAGAGATTTAGTCTCGCAAGCAGTTACTACCATCATTTCAGTACAAAACAAGTTTGCTAGAGTTATGTAGAAGTAAAATTACATTAAAAACAATTCTTACATGGCCATTATGGTAACATACATCATGAACCTGAGAGGCTGGGTTAAATGCTTTCCAGTAACTAGCAGTTGTAAGAAATGAGGTACAAATAACCGACAGGAACTACTATCCTGTATTTTAAGGCACAGAAATGGAAGTCCTGGGTGAGTAGATTTTAGGGTTGACTGTGTTACAAGACACACTGAGCTTTCTGTACTTTGGTGCTTCAGTTTGCCCAATTTAAAGGTAACTCAAATTCTTTCTGCTCTGCAAGGGTTTCAGTAGTGTTTACTTTTTTGGGTTTTATTTTGTTTGTTTTTTTTTATTTTATTTTATTTTTAATATGAGAGCTTGGACTTCTCTTAAGAGGCTGTAATCATGGTCATCTGGAGTGCTTCTCTTTCTAGAAAAAAACAGTTCAAGATGTTGACTTCTTAATAAGATAGAAACTATTACAACATCAGACACTTAGGCCAGGTGAAGTATTTAATGTTTAGAACAACTCTTTAGTGCTTCATTATGTCAGGTATTTAGGTAGTCCTCAGATGCCTGTGTAAATTCTATTATGCAAATTCTACCTCGAAGTAGTTGTTTTGAATTTTATATTCTTGCTTATATTACTCCTTCATCATCCAGGATAAAATACATTCAGATGACTAATTTTGCTAAACAATGTTGCTACTTACGTAAGAAACATGAGCCAAAAGATGCTTTCACCCTCAAAGACACAGCTCACCAGCTTTTCACCTAGAGTTAGGCTGTAAACTCGCTCTTATCCAAAGTCACTTAAGAATGATGTCCACCCAACTGACCTCTGTACACGTTTCATGTAGATACTGCTGTTGGGTAGAGCCCTGCATGGAAACGGCTGACCAGCAGATGTCACCAAACTCAAACTAATCACCATCAACGCTTCAGAAATCACCATTCCTTCCAATTTTCTAAAGCAAGACAGAACAGAGGGCACAAATATTCTCATTACTTATTTACATTCTTTTGAAAAGTGTTAAGTTCTGAGGGAGTAGCTGACAAAAAGCAGCAGCATGTAGCACTGTGTCTCATAGAAAACCTCAATATCAGATTCCCTTTTAGTGTTCCTATTGCTCCATTATTGCACTCTATTGATTGATGGTCCCTTTTTAAATCCTGTATTTCCAGAACCATTTGTTTTTTGTTTTTTTCTTCCCTAGAAGAATTATTCCTCCACAAATACAAACCTTTCACAGAAACTTGGTCAGAAAGTGAAGAATTTTGTCCAAAATTAGTAGCAATCATTTTGACTTACATGTTACCAAACTCACAAACTGCATATTTTGGCATGCCAAATACTGCTTTTACACTTCTCCCCCAAACCACTTTAAGATAAGGAGCTTGCAGTGGGGCGTATAAGATGTGTGAGAGACATAGGAGACAGACTGCGAGCTCTAAACTGTGCCTTTCTTCCCTACAAACACCAGAAATGTATCTAATTCTCCACCAAACAGACTAGAGCAGTACATAGGAGCAAGATGATTCAGAAGAGAGAGTGACTACAGATTTCTTTAGAATCCATCTGAAAGAACTGCTTAGTGCGTCGCTGTCTGCCCCTCCCACTTGCCTGCAGGAGGCATCAGAGAAACCTGCTGGGTGATGCCAACATTGCTGAACAGAAGGGCTGTTAGGTGCTGGGAAATGCAAAGGGCCTCTCCTCCCTGCAAGTTGCTGAAGTCCTTTGGAGACTTGGCTCTCTTGCAGAGCACATTCCTCTTCCTCTGAGGCACCTTTTATTATGGCTGCACTTGTGTTTTGTGCTCGTAGATAAAATGAATGCTTCAGTCCTCAATTCTCACTCAAGAACCTTAGAAGTAAATAGAAAATGGGTAATTTTCACCTCCAGCCATGTTATCTGATGGCCAGAATGCCAAATGTCTGACATGGTTGCTTACAAAAAAATTTGATTCAAGAGGGCTAAAACCTAATTCTTCCAATTGTGAAGTTAGAAGAGCACTACTTACCACAATTACAAGAGAAAGTATTAAAGCACGTACTCAGCAAGTTCAGTGAGACCGCACAAAATAGGCGAGTTGGCATTGGAAGTTTATCCACTGCAGAAATATATACATTTGTCCAAAAAGAAAACTAACATTTACATATTTGCGTGTCTTATACAGGTAAAGACAGTGTTATGGTTTATATGTACTGGATTACACAGGTATTTTTACAGTTCAAAAGTCTTGAGAGTATATTTGCAAACAAAAATAAAAAAATTAATACCTGAATTTGGCCCCATAGCACATTTGTAAGCATGACTGTCATGATGGAGTGAGTCAGTTATTCCTAGAGAGAGAAGAATTTACTCTGTAAACAGTATGTATAAATACTGTAAAAAAAAATAAAAATAGAGCTTGCCTAAAATACAGATACACACATCTAAAAAGCCAACATCTTTATGAGTGCATTGTTGGCTGAGCTTTCTTTGTGGAGTGGATCACATCAGATCAGTGAACCACAGACATACTTACCTAAAATAAAAGGAATTACAAATCTGATATTCAACAGAGTCTGAAATTTAAGTACTGCACATTCTTTAATTTACACTCACAAAAATGTTTATTACAGTGGGAACAGAAAGCAGATATTGATATTGTGCATATCTGTCTCAAACAAAATGAAGGAATTAAGGTAAGAATTGCTGGCTCTATGTGAGGTCCTATTATTACAGCTTATTAAGAAAAATCCCTTAGGGATTAAATCCTATTTTACTGTTTTCATAAAACAAAATTCTTATTCTGTAACATTTTAATGTTCTTAAAGCTGTGACCATTTAATAACAATAAGATTAAACCTGGCAAGTATAGCCCCTGTAAAGGTAGCAGAAAAGTGGAACTTTTATGTTCTTATGGATTCAACTTATGGATTGGAAACTTATGGATTCAAACTGACAGCAACCAGATAGCTTCTCCTGTTTCAAGAATTACAGCAAATTATTCTTTTTTTTATTAAGTCTCATTAACGTTATTAAAGATAATAATTTGACAGTACTTTTGCATTAACCAAGTTATTATAGCAGGTCAGTAAAATAGCTTTCTCTTTACAAAAATTCAGGAGTAGGGCAATTTCAGAACCACCAAGCCCTTGTGTTTAGGATATTTATCCCCATGATATTAGGGAACAAACATAAGCACCCTGCAAACACCTATAATTGATAGTGCTGATGGTACATTAAAAACTAATTTTATCTCGTTTGCATTGCATTTGCTTTGATCTAATAGAGATTTTAATAATGAAAAAATTAGTAGAGTTCTACAAAAAGTAGACTAGAACAGGGTGCTTTGCACCCAAACAGAAGAGAATGCACTTGGCTGACAACCTGATCCTCACAAATTGACCACAACATCTTATAGACTAATTGTAACATCACAATAATTGTAGCTTTTTCTTGTGTTTTAAAAAACCTTCTGGTTTGGAAATAAGGAATGGGACTCCCATTAAAACCAAATCAGCATTACCCTAACCTACTTGAAGTGTTCTTAAGTAATACATATGATGCCATAACTGCCTATCTGTTGGACAGTACCCCAGTATTGATTACTGTGGACATTTTAATCACAAATCACATTTATGTGTCAATTGGCTTAGAAAATGTTGCATTTCCCAATCATCTTTACATGTAGTAAACCAAATTATTTGCACAAAAGACTTCATTATTTGCACATCAGCTACACAAGTAATACAAGTTCAGCACCAGCCCTGACTTAAGGAGTAAAAACCTTCAAGTCAGAATATTAGTATTCCCTGCCACAAATGAATTCTCATGTATTTTCAGAAGTTTCCCTCTTGTGCTTTGGTTGTATTCACAACACTTCTTTGTTCATGTGGACATTGTTCTCCACATTCCAAGGAGATCAGTAATAGCAGCAGTTTCAAAAAAAGGTGCAGGTGTCGCAGATGGCCTTCACAGAACAGTCTGTTCAGATCTTTCTGAGAGAAAGGCACAAAATCCACTGATCTGCATTACAAAACTTTACCAAGAGTTCATTAAGTGGAGATATGGCTCACATGAAAACAAATGGTTGAAATAAACTCAGGTTTTGTGTGCAAGCAACGGGAAATCCAGCAGTGGCAGAAGTCCACGTTTAATTCCAAGACAGCAGAGAACCCATTTTTCCTCAGTGTCAGTGAATTATGCCGGCCCTGTCAGCTTGGTTTAGAGTAACCATAAGGACACCGAAGAATCAGGCTGCCGTGACTAGGTAGGACATGAGTGCTATAGTATTCAACCAAACTCCCCATGTTCAGAAACATGATGTCTGCATCCAGGTAGAATTTACAGTCCTGTGGTAGAACAGAAATATACACGGTCACTGACTGCAATATTTCCTACTCAGTGTTTAAAAAGAAAAAAAACAAAACACCCAGCAAACACTGACAACAATAAGTAAAATACATTATCAGAACTGAGATCTTTGCATCAAGCTGCTGCACTGCAAGCTTCTCACTTAGACGTCTAAGTCCAAGTTAAACTCAAGAACTTCATAGCCCTTCCCCTGCAACGTAACTGGGGCTGATATTTAGATTTGGACATTTGCAGCTACTTTATCTTTTGTACAGTACAGCAATCAAAAAGCCCAGATCTAGTTACTTGAATTCTCATCCTGGCACAAATACCTGTAAAGCAGCTGACTTTGACTTTTAGGGCTGGGGTAAGTTTGACTCGTTAATTGTGATGCATACACATGTATTTGCACATAATATGCACATTATATCATGCATATGTAAACATACACAAAAGCTTCACACACAAGAGAGCCACTCACCTTCTCAAATATTCTGTAGTTTCTCACTTTTTCAGCAGATTGATCCCATACAACTAATACCTTAACAATGAAAAGAGCAACAAAATCAGTTTAAACTGATAAGCTCAAAGTCAATACAGAATTAAGGAATTATTTACAATCAACTGACCAGCCTATTAAAAAAAAATCACTGAAGTTATAATAGCAGTGATTTCAGTACTTAACAACAAGCAGGAAAATCTAAGTACTTTTAACATGTAAAAACACAGCATCTCTAAGTCCAAAAGGTTTTTGTAGGGGTAGATTCTGCAATTGCAAGTTACCTTTCCAGCCTTAGTAGATGAGTTCCTAATACAGTATAATCCATTTTGTGGCTGTCCCTTTGGGCTACTAGCTTTAAATATCCTAAAATAAAAACAATGCAATAATTACATGTTACTTATCTGATCCAGAAAACATTAACATGTAGATTCTCGTAATAATGGAATTATAGGAGCTGGAAGTGACCTCTGGAGTCCAGCCACCCCTCCACCCCTTTACTAAAGTAGGTTCCCTAAAGTAGGTTGCACAGGAACGTTTCCAGGTGGGTTTTGAGTATCTCCAGAGAAGATGACTCCATAAACTCTGTGGGCAGCCTGTCCCAGTGCACTGTCACCTTCACAGTAAGTAACTTCTTTCTCATGTCCAAATGACACTTTCTGTGTATCAGTTTATGCCCACTGTCCCTTGTTCTGTCTCTGGGCACCACTGAAAAAAGCCTGGCTCTGTCCACTTCTGCCCCTTAGATATTTATAGTCCTTGCTAATTGTAGAATCATAGAATCACTGTGGTTGGAAAAGTCCTCTAAGACCATCCAAGTCCAACCATCAACCACTCACCACCATGTTCTCAAAGCCACATGCCACATTCACCCTCTTCTTGAAAACCTCCAGGGATGGCGATTCCACTGCCTCCCTGGGCAGCCTGTTCCAGTGCACTACCACTCTTTCTGAGAATAAATTTTTCCTAATATCCACACTGAATCTCCCCAGACACAGGTATCTCAGCTTTTCCTTATAAGGGACAAGGCTCCAAGCCCCCTGCAATCTCTGAAGCCTTCCATCGGACTCTCTAGAAGTTCCCTGTCTTTATTGAACTGGGGAGCCCAGAACTGGACACAGCACTCCAGATATGGTCTCACCAGGGTGGAGTAGGAGGAGATGAGCACCTCTCGACCTGCTGGCCACACTTTTTAACGCACCCCAGGATAACATTACCCATTTTGGCCAAAAGGGCACACTGCGAGCAATTCTTATTAAAATATATGTTTCAGTTGTAATAATTTATATTACATCATATTGGACAGAATTTTACTGTTCTAGCATGCCAATCAGCAATGTGTCATAGAAGATCTGGCTTTCTGTCCCCTTAATATCCTGGCAGAACAATTGTTTCCAGAGGGGGTAAAATCATTTCGTAAGCACTCTGTTTTCTCAACTGATACATGAGCACTTAACCATCTCTGCTGGAAAGCGATTTCCACATTAAAGTGATTTAAATATATTCCCATGTTTTTAAACACAAATTATGTATCTCAAAATGATTTTTAAACTACTATTCAATACAGATATCTGTAGGATTTTAAGCAACTTTTTAAAAGCCACATCTACCTTTCAACTTCTAAGGATTCAGAGGTATTAACAAATATTGAAGTAGGCAGCTCAACCTGTAGGAAAATACAAAGAAATTAAGTGACCATGAAGGACAATGAAAACTCAAAATACTAACATGTTATCCAAACAAGCTACAGCTGTTGATATCTGAACTTGTTAATAGTGCTTTAATCTTAAGTTTATGTTTCTTCCTCCTGTATACCAATGGCTACAATCCAGAATTTATAAAGGCATTCCTTAGATGTACAAATCACACAGCACTGCATTTTCAAGTTCTTTCTCCTTTTTTCCCCATGAAACATGTCCCAAAGCTCTCCCACAGAGAAAGCAAGAAAAATGGTCTTTTAAGAATGTATCATCTGTTTGTTCTTACTTTTTCATAGTCATCATCAGAATCATCATTCGCTTGACTTGGCTTGGAGGGCAGTGCTGGTTTTTCAAATGAGAAGCTTCTAAAACTCTGCCCATCTGGTGGTGATCTCCTGGCAGAAACAGAACAAAAACTGAAGGACATCTTCACTGAAAACAAATATACCAACCACTGAAAAGATAATAAAACAAGAACTTAAGAGAAAGTTTCAGTTTCAGACTTAGCAGCTCTAGAATCACAGAATAATGTAGGTTGAAAGGGACATCCGTAGATTATTTGGTCCAAGCTCCTGCACAAAGCAGGTCCAAATAGCTCAGGCAGCTGTGTTGAGTATCCCCAAGGATGGAGATTCCACAGCCTTTCTGAGTTGACCATCCACAAGATGAAATTATAACTTATAACTAACCGTTATTTCCGAAGTCATGACTTCTGTCTGTTGCCTCTTGCCATGTCACTGCAAATCTTTTGTTTTGTATTCTCCCTGCCTTGCTGTAGCTGTAAACAGCAGTGACATCTCCTATTAGCTTTCCTAAAGGTTGAGCTAACCGAATTCTGTCAGCCTCTACTCATGTATCACGTGCCCAAACATCTTGGTGGATGGACTCAGTCCCATAAATCCATCTCTCTTTCTTGTACTGCATTTGAGGTATTTTTCTTCTATATTTCTATATCTTCTATTCTTTCTATAAAACTGAATGATCTGACAAAAGTAATTCCAACTGCCTAAGCATCACAGCTAGTTGCACATCCTTACTAAAGCTGATTTTAACATAAGAAACTTCCTGTCTCCACAGAGGCCTAAAATCATTTTTTGTGGTTCACTGACTTTCTGACACAAAGGTTTCTTATTCATTATGATTAAAAGTCTTTATGGCACCCACAAAAACAAACTACAAAAAAAAGCGATTTGTTTTTTTTTTCCCCCCAAGTGATCTATTTATTTCTGAATTATTTCAAGAGTAAAATTCATTACAAAATCTCCAAATAACAAATACTCAGGCAAAAAAGCATGTATTGAGGATGAGAGGAACGGTGCGGAGAAGACTAGCAGACATTGATGTGAATCTGACAAATGATGTCTGTGAACTGATTAACAAAAACTCCATGGAAAATGTGATACTGGGATGTATTTTCACACTTACTGTAATTGGGGACATGAAGGCTTCTCTGGTCTAGGTTTAAGTACAGGATGCTGGTGACCTGGCACGGGTGGCTTCGGGAGCACTGGTGGCACAAACAGTCCCGGTTTGCCATGTTCTCTTGGCACTTTGGTTTCTATTGGTTTTTCTGTTATCTGGGACAACTTGGGTTTGTTGCTTGGCAGTGGAGGAGGAGTTCGCGGTGAAAGGTTTAAGGTTTTTAGTTTCTCGCATCCTTCTGGAGTATTGAGAACGTGAGACAGAGGCAGAGGTTCTGGAGGCAGTGAGGAAGGTTCTTTGACACTAAAAGGCTTTTTGAAAAGAGGTAAAGGGGGCACAGGAGGCAGCTGCTCACTTGGTCTCCGGCTGGAGGACTGAATCTTTAGGTTAGGTTCAGCTCGGCACGGTAACTGGGGCTCTCTCACACTGAAGAAGTCCTCTGTCTTGATCTCAGGTAAGCTCCTTTTTGGAGGTGGTGGTGGTGCTGCTGACCCAGCAGTTTTTCCACTAAAGGAATGTGACCTTGACTCCGAGTAGGCAACTTTTCTGACATGAGGGACCGGTGGAGGTGGGTAGGCTGGGGGCAGGACCATGATATCTGCACAGAGAAAATACCCAGCAAATATAGCACACTGCAGAGAAACAAAACATGTCAAGAAACTGGACTTTTATTTTATGTGGTTTAAGATATATTCATTATAATCTGGTCTGACAGTTCCTAAGATGCTGGATAAACATTTGACTTTCAGCACAACTGCACATTACATGTACTGACCTCCTGCAATTTTTATTCAGGCATGGGTTATGTCAACTTAGCAAAGAATTTTTCCTTTGTTGGAAATAAAGGGAAAAAGGCTATTTAAAAAGCATTACCCCCTCCTCCACACTGGAGGACCACCTAAAGGTTCTTCAGGGCAGCAGACTTGCCAGAAACTGTTTGTTACTGCTGTTACTAGGCTCTTCTCACCCTTAATACCTCTTAAGATTTGATACCTGTGTCTTTTGTCAGTCATTTTGCCACCTGCAGTGCTTTAGGTATGACTAAGCAAAAACAGTGATCTGGCATCCTACACAAATACGATCTTCATTGCCAGCATTTTCTGAAGGGAATAAAAGCAATCACATACCATCTTTCACTATGTCAGAAGTATCTGGCTGCAAGTAGGACTCATCGTCTTCCTCCTGGTCATAATCTGCAAGTAAAAATCCGTGTCAGACTCAGACAACCACCTCTCTGCTATTTATAGCATGTGTTTTCTTTAATTTTGACATCAATCAAGAAAGCCACTGCTTACAACAGCGAATGAAAAACATAACACTTGTTTTTCTCTGCCTTTGAAATGAAAATGTACCTTCTGGTGTGACACTTTCTCAGAAAAATTCAGATCAGTTAAGAGGCACAGCTACAAACTGATATACTTGCTAAACACGTTGGAAAAATAAAAACTCAGCAACTCAAAAGCAACCCTACCATAGCAACTTTCATGACTTTGCAGTATGAGTGCCTAAGAAAGCCTCATCATCTGCAAAACAATGAATTCTTTTGCCTTGCTCTGGTAACAAAATACACCACAACAAATGACTTAAATGTTGTCTCTAAGTCAAAATAATCAAGACATGAAAAGCATGCTGCCTCCAGGCAGTAATTTCTCATCGACTGTGATATGAGCCTTAAGAACAATACACAGTATTTCCTTAGAGAAAAAGCTTCAGTGGGGGCTGGGGAAAAGGCTAAGGTTAAGCTGATAAAAATCAGTTAACTGTTATAATAATTATCCTTATTTAGGCTTCCAGGCCTCTCCAAACATAATTCATATTGTATACAACCCTTCCCTCCCATAAACACTGATATTCTAAACCACAACCCTATACAAAATGCTGATGAGTGTTTTCCTCTGCTTTGCAACAGTGCAACCAGATTTCCTACACAGTCAAACTCCTGTTTTGTTTTGTTTTGTTCTAGTCAGGAAAAATGGTCAGGAATTTCCTTTCAGGAAATCAGAGTACTTGCTCCAATCAACCCTACCCTGAGAAATCTGAAAGGGCAGAAAACGCCTATTGAAGGAACTCTGGAGGATCACAAAGCAAGCCTCCTCATTTGGACTGTACTGTGTTTCTTGACTAAGAAGTTAGTTGCTAAATATGCTGTGAATCTCAATCTGACAGGCTTTCTGTAAAATCCCCATTTCTATCTAAAAAATAAACACACACGACCAGAATTGTTACAGCAAGTTATCAAACTGAATTAAAAAAAAGAATGCTAAGAATGACACACTTCAAGCCTTACATTGAAGGATGTTAACCAAGTGCCCCACCCAGGCCATTCAAATGCCTAACGCGAGATCTTCCTGAACTGGGAGAAGTTCTGGTTTGCACTAAGCAGGCTACAGCACAGATGCAACAACATCCCAGAGTGAATTACTGCTAACTCTTGGGACAGATGAATTGTTTTTACAGTCTAGCTAAGAGGCAGCCATCTCCACAGTGTTTCACCACATTGTCAGAACACACTTTCAGCATGTACCTCCCCCAACACCCTTCTTCCCCCAGGGCATGGATCCATGCATCCCTTTGCCCACCTCACAGAAACCAGACTGAACCATAACAGTGCATTGCCAGACTATGACCTATGGACACGCTCAAATATTTTATCTTCCTGCTAGATCTACAGCTTCCCAACATGTGGTCTTAACAAAAGTGTAAGTTAAAAATTTAAGATTGTATTATTAGGGATGATATTAAGATTGTATTAGGTGTCAGACACCTCCTGGCCAAGGCTGAATTCCTTTAGTTACTACTTATTTTTTAGCAATGATTTTACAACACAGACTGTTTCTGATTTCAAATTACAACAATTCTATGCACCTCATAAAAATAATTTTTAGTTATCAGTTTGCAAACTAAATCAGACAGTCTGCTTCAGTTACTGGAATAGTTCCTGCAGAACCCAGAAGGAAAGCAAGATTTTAAAAAAATCATTTATCAATGTCTAAAAATTGTCACCTTCATTATCTGCTGAATGATGAGAATACTTGATATCAATGGGACGTTCAACTGAGCCATAGAAACTGTCTGCATCAGAACCAGAGTCACTGCAAAAGAAAAGGCAGAGTCTCTTTTTCATCGCTATGTTAGAGGTCTTGGAAAAATAAAGACATCTGCTAGCAAGACTGCAGCACTGGAAAGTAGTACTGGAAAAGCAGAAGCAATCTATTCCCTTATCCATAGCTAAATCAGTTGCTGCCATTTATATTTTTCTTTGTTTTATACAAAAACAACATTTTAATTTCTCTTAGTAGAATGATTTATTTGTCCTGCTACTCTTTAATCTGTCTATTAGGTAGGCCCTTCATTCCTGGAGCCTACTGCAGCTGTTAATACTCAGCAGTAAATTACTTGTAGGTGCAAACAGCCAAGAAACAACACTATTGAGAGCTGAAGAGAAGAGAGGGAAAAGGCAAACAAAGATTAAAGTTTCATACCTGAATTCTGTTACTGTTTCTTTCTTATCATGGTAGTGATCGATTTCCCTCCTCAGGGATAGCATCCAATTCTAAATAAATAAATCCACAACATTCAAAACATTAATCTTTAAATCATTACACAAAGATGCACAGTATCTTTCTCCTGCAAGACAAGAGTGACAGTGTAAATGAAATATCATTTATCCACACCTTCATATAAGTATTGAAAGGATTTACTAGTCAAAATGCTTTGACTATTGAAAATCCTACAAGAACGCATTAAAATATTCAACTTCTGATTTGTGAATTTCCAGTTGTTACTCCTACAGCCATGTACCTGCTCATAGTCTGCATACTGGTAGGAGATTCCACGAAACAAGTTTTAAAACTCAATCAGAAGTTTACCATACAAATATTAATTCCACGGCTAAAAACCAGGAATACAAAGACAACTGTAACATCAATTATGCCACCTGCAGCCATTCCCTACAATTTGCACAACTAGTTAAAACTTCAGGCGTTATTTTCAGAGGAGTCCAAAGAACCAGATGTACAGACTTCAGTTACAGCTGCGTGCCCAGTTCACGTAGATTTTAGGGAAGCCCAAAATCCACTTTCTTCATTTGCAATACGATTTCCCTTGAAGTAAAACATACCTTTCTTTCATCTTCAGAAGAAGCAGAAAAAAACCACGTCCTGTGCTTCTTGCTAATGTGAACTAACTTGAAAGGAAACACATTGCTTGATGTCGTCTCTTCAGCCGCCCGCATAACCCTGGGAAACAGAAGAACCAATATACAGAAATCCCTTAAGCTGTAAAGGTAATTCTGCCGTGCAAATCACAGCTCAGAAAGCAGCTTTACCAGCCTGCTCTACCTTGCTGAAAATAAGATCAGCAACAACACCTCACCAAAACACTAATATGGGCAATTGTAGTTCTTCACTGAAGCAATAGCACGGATAATGCAAGAGTGCTGACAGGACAAAAGGCACCACTTCATCCACCAGACGCAGATGATGTTCTGACCTCTTCAATAAACAGTTTAATAAACTTTTTAATAAGCTTTTTTTTGAAAAAGTTTAATTCAACCTGTTTCACAAACCAAATTAGAAAAGTTTCCTGCCTTTTATTTTTTCCACGTGGGATTCTAAAATGAGAAAATACTGTTCTGTCCTCACAGAGGCACAAAAGAACCCTGTTCAGAAATGCACACTATAAGGTCTTGAAAGAATAAGGAGACTAAAACCGTAAGACTGTGTGCAATCCAGAAGTAACATCAGTAGGATTTACTCAGCACAAGCTGTACAGAAATATGAATGACAGTTTTAGGGGCTCTCTTTCTTCTTGTTCCTATACTTCAGGCTTTGCTAATTTCCTCACAGAACACAGTATTTCTGTGTATTTATGTATTTATGGAAGGTAGCTTATAAACCCACAGGTAAGGTTTTTTGCCTTTTGGTTAGTACCAAATCAAAATGAACATGACTTTGGGAAAAACAAAAATAAAAATAATAATTAAAAGATATTAATCAACACCTCACAGTTGGCACTAAGAAAAACGCAAGGCGCAACGTTTTTTCAGAAATAGATGGTATCTTTTTAGAACTCCAACTCTATTTTTAAATTGTAAGTTATAGTGTTGTTTTTTTGTTGTTTTGTTTTGTTTTTTTTTTTAATCTGGCCTGAAACTAAGCCACAAAAGGAACTGTAAGTTACTTCATTCACTAATTTAAGACCAATGGAGATATTACTATGGAAAATAACCATCATATGTCTGGGAGGGATGGCAATGTTTCCTGCATTCTGAGCCACCAGAACATTCAGCGCTGTCTCACGTGCTGTCCCCACTTGAAATGTAAAGGCTATTGAATTATAATACAAGTCTAGGGAAGCCTTAAAGCAACTTGCTTTCATGCACTCTTACGAAACTGCCCAGCCTAAAAAATGAAGATTTCTTTCACTTCAAGCTTTTTTCCAATAATGCTTATGTCTACACATAACATTAACTATGAGCTGGTCCCAATTCTACAACCAAGATGGCTGCAGATACAGAGATAGGTAAAAAGCAATGAGAGTTTCTAGCAATTACAAAATCCACAGCATTTTTCATAATATCCAGATTCCAGAAGCTGGTATTATGGCCACGTTATAGCAGCATTCCCAGCAAATACGCTGTTGTGGTGGTCAGTTAAAAAGCCTTCCCACTACAATGAGAGAGATTTCCTTATTCTAAAAGTCTGAGAGCATTAAGCAGTGCAGAGACAACAAGCACATTTATGAGCACGATAAAACTGCAGCAGTTAGGGCCAACAATGGTTTGTCTCTCTAGTCTGTATCTTACTTGTCTTTTCTTAGCACATATGCAACAGCAATTTCCTGAGGTTAATACTGAGTGCGATTGGCAGGCCCTGTACATGTGCACTCAGTGAGATTCTGGTTAACTTGAAAGCCACTTATTTTTGTCTTCAACTTAAAAAGCAAATGTTAAAATCTATAACGTATAGTGGAAAGAGTCAGACATTTTGCACATGTATTCTCTCATTTTATTACTCCTGTAATTGATTCTATTTTGACACCCATTAGTGTTACTGAATCAGGAACTTTAAATATTCTGCTTCAATTCCAGATAATTTGTCTGGAGGAGTCCATATCTATGTGTGCAAAGTCCACATTAAATAAGGAACAAGCACCAACCCACTGCAGTGGTAAGCCCTGTGCAATTTTAAAAGCTTTACTAGAGGATTACAAAAGATGAAGGATACACACTTGCACAGCACTGGAAACATATATACAATTTGAAAGGAATTTTCTCTCGCAATGTGAGACCAGTGTCTGACCAAAATAACAAACATAGCTGAATTAACTACTCAAAATGAAAGGCAGTTCCTACCCCAATTAAGTACAAGGGCCTGAGGTGTTAAGTTTTGGCACTCACCTGTTGTAACCATTCAAAGAAAATGCACCCTGTGGAGATGCTGACGTGCTGGTCTTAAAGTAGTAAATGCATCCCTCATGGATAATCACAAATCTCAGTGGCCCTGACAAAGAAAAAAAGCAAGTAAGATATAAATTCAAAGGCAGTGGGATCCTCAACAGCTGTGCCCAAGTTAGGATGCCCAAGCGAATTTCATTAATCCCTATAGAAGGGCACAAAGCAGCGAAGTGGCAGCTGGCTGCTGACCAGTCACATGAAGCTCTTCAAAAGAAACCCCAGAGACTGCAAGCCTGACCTCCACCTGTGCTCTCTCTCTGGGAGAACAAGCTAACTTAAGAGTGCAGCCTGAAACAAGAGCAGAATGTAAACATGGGCTACAAATAGCTTTTTAGTTCAACGTATTGTGATTTGGGGTGAACATATCTCCTTTCTTCTTAAAGGTGGCAGTACGTACGTGCATAAAGCCTGCAATAAAGTGCTTCTTTTTTTCTCTTAAAGCTAAGTGCCAACTCTCCCATCACCTTCATCAAAGACAGTAATCTTTGCCCTTAGTTGTATAGACACAGTTTAGTTGTAAACAGGCATAGGAAATGACTAGAATACAAATTAAACTCAAAGTCTTACATTTCATCCTATTAAATGGATTCTGATTCCAGAAGTAATTACTATTACTAAGCATAGTCTAATCTCAGCAGTGAGAAAAGTTCCATTTCACAACAGCAGCAGGAGATGGGGATATTTTTTCAGTACTAAAAAACTAACTGTAGAAAAAGCTGAGCACTAATTTATTTTATAAAAGAATATTTGAAATTGTTTCTGCCATTTGTTTCTGCCTTAAAGTCTTACTTCTTAAGGCCTTGACAAAAGATTTAACTAAATACAAGAAAATCAATCATAACACTTGTCATCTAAAGCTTACAGTTTCAAAACAATTAAAGCAAATTCTTTCAACATGAGTCTTTAATACATATATTCCTGTAAAATTGTATTACAGTGCAGAAAAGTAAGAGGAAGACTGGCTTGATTAAAGAGCCCATTAATAGGAAGCGTGTTTATGGCTCTAAAGGCAAAAATTAAAACCACTGAACTTACACTTCAAGATCTGCAACTGAGTGCCTCCCTTTTTATGAAGATAGCCGGATTTGGTCACTCCTCCAGGCATCGTCAAAAGGTTTTGTGCTCCAATTGCCTTCATTGGGACCGGCCAGACCTGTTCCTCTGAGGCCATCTTCCTGCAATTCAGAATAATTAATTAAGAGCAGTTTCAAAATTAGATTTTACTTCAGGAAATGAGGACTGAGAAACAAAGCTTGTTTCTTTAACCAAGTTTTCCAAACAACTAACATGGTTCAGCAGTCAAGTATGCAGGACAGACGCATGCTCATAGGTTCCAGGAAGTTTGTGAGGTATAAAAAACACAGGACAGAAAGTCCCAACTTATTTTTATTCAGTTCTCAAAACTGACTGACAGTGGTCAGAGCAATAGAAGAGTGCTTAAAAAATGTTATTTTACTATTTATATCTTAAAACTGCATCAGATGATAATACGCAGACTAGAAAGAAAATCAAAGAAAGTCAGTTTCTTTTCTAAAGCTCCATACCACACATGGGCACCGAAGGGAGATTTCTGTACAGTGAGGGAATCAATGGTCACATTTTAGTAACCATACACAGTTATTAATATTAATATATTAATATGCTTCTCATATCTGTATGTTTTATTCTAACTAATAGCATCAGTGTATAATCTCATACGTGACAATGCAAACCAAATCCATCTCAGATTGCTGCAGGACGCCTTCCACTCATACATCAGTTATTAATGCCATGCTTCACCAAGAGCCTTTGCAGTTCCCACTGTTTCTACCACCACCTTATACAGGTTACCAGGAGAACTATCCTTTTAAGTAGCAGTTTTTTCCTGCCTGATGTATCACTGTGAGACTCTTCTTTCTTTAACTGGCAACAGAATTGGGCTAAAAATCCAATTGTGTAAAACATTCAAAGAATACAAAACAATTAAAAAAAAAAAAAGCATCCACAGATGAACCAAACAGTAAGTGTGACCCAGACACAAAATGACCAGGCGTAAGGCTCAAGGCCTCTGCTGGTAAGAGGTAAACTAGGAAAGCTCCTTTGTGGATAAAACCCGTTAATTCATTTCTGAAAAAAAAAAAAAAAACACCAAACAATAACTGTTTAGAATGGGGGGAAAAAAAAGTGTAGTACAATATTGAAATCTAATGGATCCTGTGTTTGCTTCCCTTGAAAGGGACAGGAAGAGAAGTCAATAGCACAGCTCAATAGACTCTCAGAGTCAGCAGTAAAGTGCATCTCATGCCCGCTGCATTTGTTAGGAGCAAAGGGAGACTGAGGATACGTTTCAGCAGATCTGCCTAGCACTGAGTTCCACCTGCTCAGCCTTTGCTGACAACGTATCACTAGCAGTTTCTAGCAGAGGAAATCCTTTAGGCAGCCTCAGAAATTGCACAAGCGTTTAGTTCCACCATGTAACAGAACAGGCTCAAGGGGAGTAGATAGAATGTAAGGCTGTAGAAAGGCCATGGTTGCCTAGCTCTCTTCCAGTACCTTCCTACTCACCAAAAGCTGTTACATTTACTGCTATATCCTTTTCTGCTCTAATCCATTCCTGTTCTTATCACGTAATTGAGATTTTTCCAAGCTGAGTTGGGCCTTCCTCCTCCTCTCTGCAATGAAGTTTCTAGCAATAGTTTTGCATTAATAGGTCCAAGAAGTGGACTATAATATTTAAGAATTACTAAAATAGTAAAAAGTATTAAGTCTAAAATAAAAAAAACAAAAAGGAATCCTTCAAATAATTTCTCCACATCTTATAGAAAAGCCAAAGGGCAATAGGCCATTAATCAGCTGGCTGCTAATGCCAAGCTACACTGCAGTACTAAGAGCCATTTCCTTGAAATGAGGAACACTAATTCAGAAATTTGCCCAAGACATGCCTTTAAGAGCTAGTACATCAACGTTCAAACATGTGAAACTAATTCACGATGAAGCGATTTCAGTCTGTTTCTAATTATATTCAGAAAGAGACGAAACAAAAGCAAACTTTTTTTCAGCCAGATATACTCTGATCTCAGATTCCTTCATCTATCTCTAGCATTAGTCTCAATGCCATCCAACTGTTTGAAGATCATCACAGGTTTGTTTTCAAATAGTGAAGAGCAGGACTTCAGCACTTCCCCTCTGGAATCAAGCAATAATCTCAGTGTTAATATTCTTAGATTGAAAACATTTCAGAAAAGGGAGAGTTAAGTACCTCAGGGAGGTTATCCAAAACAACCACAAGCTGAGATTCTAGGAAGGCAATGGCAAACACTGGGGACAAGGGTATCCCTCCCTAGGTAAATAGAGAAAACACAAATATTTGACTAGGTCATGGCAGCTTTCTACATAGATAGCTGCTGGAAAGCCAGAATAGCAGGAAGACAACATAAAAATTATTACATCGAAACAGAGAAACAAGCAGGCTAAGAATCCAGTTCTACAGTGCAGACAGTACAGGATTTAACCAAAAGGAAGGACAATAAATATCAAGTTCTGCTTCCTCCTCTTGACAATCATTCCTTATCTCTGCAGATTTACAATAAAACAGTTCTGAAAATGCAGACCGAACCCTCAAAGTTCCCCATCCACCTGCGTGAATAAAGGTGTGGCAGAACTCCCCACACAAGTACATCTTTCACTAAAACACAGAGCTTTCCCAGCAGCTTCACTACGCATATTTTCTGGATCTCATTGTAACCTTTCCCACTTCCCATTCTCATATGTAGGCTGGGGCTGAAGTTACTGACACACAGGGAGGACTTTGGTATTCCAGATTGAAACATTTGAAACAACCCTCTTAAATCAGTACTTTGAATTTTTTCCCAATCAGATTTTTTTTTATTTTTTTTGAGAGTACAAAACAATTCTAGAAGAAAATGAGATGCTGTTTTCCTCCTGCTGCAGGGAGGGGAGAAAGCTGTCAAAACAAAATATCCACAGGATCTTTACTTTAGGGGTGGGATGAAAGAAGAATTGATGCTCTTGAAGATTTTCCTGGTGTTAGCATCTATAATATAGTTGTCTTTAGCTCCCCAAAATAGATCTTTCCACTCTTGATATTCCTCCTTAAAGTTCTTTTTTTTTTTTTTTTTAATCTATTATGTGAGGAACAGATTGATGCTCCATTACCAAGTATGGTCAATAGCAAGCACCAAAGTCACTGTAGAGCCTATTAGCACTTAGCATTAGGAATGAGAAGGTATTTCCCAGATGCCTTTTTTTATGCCGTTATATTCTTGCTCTACAAGCCAAAGACCCTCTTACATATTTTCATCCCAGGTGCATAAGCAAAGCCTCTTTCACTGAGCAGACAAGGAAGATAACAGGAGAGACCCACTAAAAGCCACCGGGGCCAGGCTACCCTCCCTGTCTGATGGCAGACCTCTGTTACAAGACACAAGCTAAAATACTTACGCTAATTCTTTTGTGCAAGCTTCTAGTAAAAGCCACATACTTTATTCCTCCCATTCTTGTCAGCAATGGACTAGGTACCTATTTTAAAATTTTCTCCATCAAGTCCCACACGCAGCACAAGTGCCCCTTATATCAGCCTTCTCCTCCCTGAAACACTGTTGAAATGAACCATCTGAGCCAGCAGAGGATGACAGCAGCAAAAGGCCTTGCACCACTTCCTTTCTCAGATGACCCCCATGGCAATTCTATACCTCTGTGGGAGGCAACAGACTTTAAAACATAGTGTGAGACACTGGAACAGTAGTTAATAGGACTTGCTTCATCACTCAGAGTTTTCTGAAAGACAGAGCAGTGCAGCTAACACTATTGAGCATGATACAATCAATACTGTAATTAATTCACACATGCAAACCAGTCTCCCAGACTTTTTTGGCAGACCAAGCCAGTCTGCAGCATACTTTGTCAGTCCAAGCCTGTCCCACAAGTACACCTTTCTCGGAAAGTATCAGAATGAACTCCTTCAGCCACACAATCTGTTCCAGATGTGTTATGAAGGAACACTTACTCCTTTTGGCCTTATGAGCTATTGGCATTCAGCTCGATTAAATTGATACAGCCTGATTCAACTAAGGGTTGCACCCTAGAAGAGCCATGAGTCCTTGTTCTTTGCTGAACCTCAGCAGAACATATGGCAGATGTGATCATCCCCACGCCTTGCAGTGCATAAGCCTAAAGAAGCATTAACCTCATTGCTGAACCTACAGCTGCCAAAAGTTGTCTTAAAAGTTTTCACTTATTATAATAACATTTATGGTCAGTATTGGAGGCCCTTTGGTCATGCTGAAAACAAAAACGCAAGCCTCCTGAATTGCAGTAAAAATCAAACCTGTTCTGGATTTGTCACAAGAGTCTCCACGCAAATTATGTCTGAGAAAAATTTTAATTCCATAATATCTCATATCATCTAATCTTTAAATACTGTTTTGAAAGTAAAACCAAGCAAAGCAGGATGTGGATTTCCTTCTAAATATGCATGTAACTTACAGAAATGAAGCAGAATTATACCAGAAAGCATTCCTGGTATAATGCAGATGACTGAAATTTCAGTGTTCACAAAAGGCTGAACCAAAACTAAGGCAGCACTGCATATACAGAGAAATGTAATAAAAGTTTTCCTAATGTGCTCTCTGCAATTCTGCGCAAAAAGGAGTTCTCCAGTTCAACCACCTACATATTTATCATCTGTAAGTCTGCTTTCTGCAAAAAATTTCAGGTCTTGTTTCCATTATTTAATAAGTATTCCCAGTATATCTGAAATACTCTTTCATGTTTCTCCCACTTTTCTGAGTTACACATCGCATTTCTTAGTACTCCCCACAGCCCCTTGCACAATAGTTTCTCAGAAGAATTAAGCTTAGCACAAACAGTGAGAAGAAATAAATCTTAAGGACAAGGGGAATAGAGAACTAAGCCTGACAGAGGTGCATGTTATAAATAAGTTCACTCCATTCAGCTTGCTTCAACTTGCTTTTCTTATCAGCTGAGTGTTTCCAACCAACGCTCTCCTCATTTTTTCCCCTCCAATTCTTGGCCATTTTTTGCATAAGATGCAGAAGTTAAAAGCATTTTTCCTCCAGTCAGTTCTCTTCTCTTAGATTTAGTCTGCTCTCTACCTAAAAGAGGAAAGATGACAGAAACACAAGCCAGAAGCATGCACTCACCTTGTCATTGCGCCTGATCGACACATAGTTTTCCTGCTGACGCTTTCACTGTAAGATAGTTTCCTTTGCGAGGACAAAGCCATTAGCAGCTGATAGCCCCTCTCAGGCATGGCAGGAACATCGCTGTGCTTCCCTTCTTTTTGTGTATAAAAAGGCTGGGAGCGGTGGCGATAACTACTGCGCACACAAAGGAGGAGCTGTGCCCCGACTGCTTGTACATCTGCTCTGCAGCGTGGCCAAAAGGGACGCCTAGGCAATGACTTGTTTCCTTTGTTACTTCCTGTTTCCCCCCAGAGTCAGTGGGCAGCACTGTCTTTGTCAGATTTCCCAATATCCCACAGAGGCTGTAAACCAAGCCGTGTGTTACCTCAAGCCTCTGTGAGACTGCGAGGCACGCAGCGGGGGATTTTCCAGCGCTTGCTTGCTTCACCTTCCCACCAGCTGCTTTCCCGTGGGAGAAAAAGAAGGTAGCCCTTCTCCCTTACAGTGCATTCAGGCAGCACCAGCAGAGGCATGGCTCACAAATGCTGCTCTGCTTCGGGTCCTTGCCTCGCACCACAGAACTACGCTAAGTCCTTCACCTCCCTTTTCTCCCCTATGGCTGGAGTTTGTCCATCCGTCTTCAACCCACTAACTTCGAAATGGTTGTTCTCAAAGACTGTGCAGCATATATATGCTTCAGAGCAAGCCCTGTCTGTACATTTGTCACTACACAAACCATAAGAAAATGGAATTCTTATCCATGGGTTTAGAACACAAGGGCAACGATGCTACAGGACACTACGATGCTACAAGCATCACCAGCTGATGGTAAAAGAGAAATGCCATTGTTCTACACATTACTATTTTCATTTGGAGCTCTTAAAAGAATTCAGATCATTCACTGGTCTGGAATCAGCCAACACACACTGTGCCAGAAAGTGCAAAAGCAACTCACATATTGCAGAATGATCGACAAGACTTACATAACCCAGCATGTTGAGCAAAGCTTACTTCCAGAATAGATTCCTTCCAGGTCAGGCAATACAGGAAGGGCAAGCAGAGAGTAAGCACCACACACTTACTGTGTGCTGTAAAGAGCAGCATATTAAGACAATGTTATGGTGCTATTTAATAAGAACATCAGTACTCAACCGATTCAGTGGTATAATTAACAAATCTTTCAACAAAAGTTGCCAAGAATGCTACATTTCAGCAGCTTGTGAATTAGCAATTCAGCAGTTTGTCAATGACTGGGCAGGTACACACCTTGCTGGGTAAAGAACTGGCTGGAGGGCTGAGCCCAGAGAGTGGTGGTAAACGGGGTTAAATCCAACTTGTGCCTATGCACATGTGTATTTATTCTCTATGACCATCTGGACAGTGTTAGAAATCACCAGAAAAATCGAAAGGGGATCTTGGAACTTGAAATGAAAAACTCTGTATTTGTGAGTACTTATATGAAGAAGACATCATGAGAAAGATCAGAATGGAAAAAGTAACATACTGAATGTCAGTCACAAGTGGTGCTCCCACGGGGTTGGTATTGGAGCCTGTCCAGTTTAATACCTTTATTGATGACCTGGACAAAAGGATTGAGTGCACCCTCAGTAAGTTTGCAAGTGATACCAAGTTGGGAGGAATAGTCTATGTGGAAAGAACAGACCTGGGACAGTTGGTTGACACTCAACTGAACGTGAGCCAGCAGTGTGCCCAGGTGGCCAAGAAAGCCAAGACATCCAGGCTTGTATCAGAAATAGTGTTGCCAGTATGAACAAGGAGATGATCATCCCTCTGTGCTCAGCCCTGGTGAGGCTGCACTTCAAATGCTGTGTTCAGTTTTGGGCCCCTCAGCCCCTCACTGCAAGAAAGGCATCAAGGCTCTGGAGTGTGTCCAGAGAAGGGCAACAAAACCGTGTGAGATCTGGAGCATAAGTCTTATGGGGAATGGCTGAGAGAACTGGGATTGTTCAGTCTGAACAAGAGTAGGCTGGGGGGAGATCTTGTTGCTCTCTACAACTCCCTGAAGGGAGGCTGTGGTGAAGTGAGAGTTGGCCCTTCTCCTGCGTAATGAGCGATAGGACCAAAGGAAATGGCCTCAAATTGTGACAGGGAAGGTGCAGGTTGGAGATTAGTAGAAGTTTCTTCTCTGAGGGAGTGATTAGGTGCTGGAACAGGCTGCCCAGGGATCTTATTGAGCGTCTAGAGGTGTTCAGGAAACATTTAGACGTAGTACTGAGGGTCATGGTTTAGTGAGAAAATATTAGTGGTAGGTGGACAGTTGGACTGGATGACCTTGGAGGCGTTTTCCAACCTTGGTGATTCCATGATTCCATGAAATTAATTTGTCCTATATACCATGAAGTTGAAATTGGCAACTGATATTAAAAATTAACACAGAATGTTTGAAAGCAGTCCTTCCTCTCTCTGTTTTCTGCTGTGTTATGATTGTTCTCTGCTATCCAGCATATTCTTCTAAGTTTGCATTATTATTACTATCCTTCAGCTCTTATCTCCACCTCATTAAAAAAAAAAAGCTACGATCAAAAGAGACAGAGCTTGAGTAGATGTATCAGACTGATGTTTGGAATAGATATTCTGCAGTGTTACACTTTAACGTTGGTTTTACTCCTCCAAAGTTTGCAGTAACACAGTGCTCTGTGGGCTCTGCAGTCTCATTTTTAACTAATATTTCATACATTCAGTATGTTCCTGAAGTATTACTTTTTCCATTCTAATCTTTCTGATGATGCCTTCTTCATATAAGTGCTCACAAATACAGTTTTTCATTTCAAGTTCCAAGATCCCCTTTCAATTTTTCTGGTGATTTCTAACACTGTCCAGATGGTCATAGAGAATAAATACACATGTGCATAGGCACAAGCTGGTGTTCTAGTAAGGAATAAAAACACACCAAAACCACCAAAGAGTGTTTCACAGATGATCACTGATATAATAGAATGAAAATTCAGCCTAGTTTTCTAGACCAAACATGAATCAGAAGCGTCGTGCTTCCAAACTGCAGAGCCCGAATAGATGCAAAACTGTAATGGGTTTGATTAACACGCCTGTCACAGAAGTGAGAAAGGAATACATAAGTCCTCCTCCGCAGTGCAAAATCCAGTTTTGCAAGGAATGCTGGCATATAGTTTTCAGACTACTAACCCTTATGTAGCCCCATAATATCAGTGAGGCCTTGCACCAATCCAGCTCAGGGAGAACTTCAGCTAAAAGCAGTCGCTTCATCTCTCTGACATTAAGAGATCTCACTTAGGAAGAACCAAAACATCAAAAGCAATTTTCCTTTGGTTCTCACTCCACTAGGACCACTGCTTGCAAAAGACAATCATCTCTGCCAATGTTAATAACTGCTCTTGCTCGCAGTGGTCAAAAGTAACCACACCTACCCCAAGTTTACCGAAAGCAAGAGCTATAAAAGATGTATCTCATGCTATACAAACCTCACCAGTATTAATGTACTGGTTCAGCTGAGGTGTTGAGCTATCTGCAGCAAGAGAGCTTCCTCTTACTGACCAATTTACAGGAAACTGCAAGAATGGACTGCATGTAAAAGCGGACTGAGCAAGAGATGAGGCAGAAAAATTCACAAGCCAACAACAGGACCAAAAGAAAAGCACAAAGACCACTTCTCTTCCACCAGAGCAAGTAGCCATCCTGGTGGGTCAAGTTCCACTCGGAGTGACATGAGAGTTATCTCTTTTGGTAAAAGTCTGTAGAATAGTAAGACAGGAAAGACAACCATATTCTGCTCTACTGGCTAGATAGCTTGAAATAAGAGTAGATTATTATAATCTCTTTTGTTTTAGTGATTCAGCCAATGTAGTTTAGACCAAGATTCTAGATCACAGTGGGAAAACATCCCATATATTGAGAGAGCATACGTTTGTTAACAGTATGCTCCACAACTACGTATTGTAAAAAAGCCAGTTTAAGTTACTCACCTGAATACTTCATCTGCTAGGTAAGGCAGCCCTGTGAAAATGAGAATAACCATACATCAGAATTATTTCTGCCAGGTGACCTGCAGAACAACAACAGTAATAACCATTATCAGTAACAAGGGGAATAAATGAAGCCTGGATTTCCAGAAATCCACTTTCAATGCCAGATAAATGACAGTTCTTAAAACTTCTGCTATCATTTCCTCATTCTGCTTACTGGGGAAGAACTGAAGAAGTTATAATAATATAATATAAGTAGACCTCAGACATATATTTCCACATATATATGTACCTATATAGAACTATATATTAATACACACACACACAGTCTACAGTATCTAAAATGCACCTGAAGAGGAAAAATATATCAATTTTAAAATGAAATTGTAAATTGTTGTTATTTTCCTTCCCCCCAATAAACTTGGCACAAGTACAAGAGTGTGACATACCGACTTTCATTTGATCATAAACGTTATCCTTTGCAAGTGCTTCTGGCACAATTTAGCATAGTTTAAAAAACATTAATCATCATGTAACTGAGAAGTACAAATGCAACGGACCAAATCCTATTCCTGCACACAGTTCTGCTGCTGACAGATGCAAAGGGAGTTCCCCCAAAATATATATCCTGAAAGTGGGAGTTTCCCCAAATTATTTATTTCCTTGGCAGAACATTTCCTCTCTATGAAATTACAGTTGACACGATTTTATTTCCTTGGCTCATCTGTAACGACTTACATACAATTCCATTAGCAATGTACTCTGCAACTGAAGATTTAGCAAGCACTGTAGGACTCCAAAATAAATTCTGCTTATGTTCCAAAATACTTCTCAGTATTGAAGCCAGTATGCCTTTAGTACATGGAACACTAAAACAAAGGTCTTCTAGCAACTTACAAGGGAGAGTAAAATATACATTGTAGATTATAAAGCTACCTGATAGGTACATTTATTTAGCCTGCATTTCTCATTACAGAAATTCAAGTCTGCTGTTAGCAAATACATTTTTTTTCCTAGAATTCCACCAAAATCAATTTCAAGGACGCTAAGAGTGAGAAAAAAGAAAAATCTGTGAGACCTGCATTTACATTCACCCTTTTCTACCATTTCTGACACTAATGCATTTTGGAAAAACATCCAACATTTGTGTTACACAACACATCAACAAAACTTAGGTCCAGGACTATTGTTGCCAGGTAAAGAGATTATGTCACACATGGGTATATGCAAGTCAGTAGAAAAAGTATTGAATACAAGTAATTTTAAAACATTCCTGGAAAAGGATATTAAAACAACTACAAAAACACATTGAGCTTATTGAACAAGTCCTTTTGTTTGTCTATCAGCAGAAAAAGTGAAATGAGTAAAATTCTATCACTGACACCAATAAGTTACTAAGTGAATAATGAACACACTCAGCAAGCCATGGTTTAGAGTAAGCATTTGGTCACGTCATCTATCAGCCCTTGGAGCTGTGCGTCCCTCTTCTGGTGGCATTCAGTAAATATTTAAGGAAATATGCAGGCAAGTGGCTGCAACCACCACCAAAGAGGAAGCTCAACTTCTGCCAGACTCTGCAAAAACAAAACCAAGCATTTTCTATTTTTGTTTTGTTTGAAAGGAGGCTGTTGGATAATATTCAAAGACAAAGTACAACCACAAAGACTCTTTTTCTATGTTTTACTGTTGTACAACACAGTAGATAGTGCTGGTTTCTAACTAACAATGCACTGAAGCATCTCTTTTCATACTCAGAAACTCTGACTGGGAATCAGAATCTCAAAACAAGCTAATAACCATGCAAGTGTAAGTTATAGAATTAAAAAGTCCAACTATGCACAGTCCCCACTGCCAAGAAGAGCTCTGAAGTCTAAGCAAAAAAGAAGTCAAAGAGTATATTTGCCAACAGCTCTTCAATGTGTAAAGATGAGCACTGCGCCCAAACCCTCAAGGAAGCGTTCCAGAAAAAAGGTTTCTCTTTTCCAATTTCAATGACAAT